TGATCCCCCACGCTGCCTGTCCAGGAAAAGGGTTGCTCCTTCCTGCCAGGGCGCTGTCCCTTGGCACAGGAGGGAGCCCCAAGTCTCGTTTGCACTTGGATGATGCCAAATGACAGAACTCCCCTCTGCTCAGGCCTGTGGAAGCAGCAGCAGATCACACAGAGGCCACAGCACTGAGGTTGACTCCTATGGAGTCTCAGGATATCTAAGATTTGATCTATACGGACAAATGGGCAGGTATAATATCACATTGAATTTAAAACACAGGGCCATTTACTCTTCAGACTCTTCACACAGACTCCCTCCTCCTCCCCTCCCTCTTTGGGGAGGAGGAGGAGGAGTTTTCTAGCACAGAGAAGATTTGCAGTTTCCCAATGGGATGAGAAAACCTACTTGGCAAAGGTATAGTACATCACCCAGTCATCATAACCAGACAAAACTCCACTGAGCTCAGAGAGCTCTGTCTGTCTGTCTGTCCCTCAAGAGTCTCTCGCCACAGTTCCGCCCAGTCGGCCGCTCCCAGCTCCGGCTGCCCGCGGCTCGGCGATTCCTCATTCCCGGGCCACAGGCCGGCTGGGCAGCCCTCCTGCCTGAGCAGAGCAGTTCAGGGGAGCCCTCCCCGGCCTCGCAGCCGGCACCCACGGCTCTCCCACCAACACAGAGCACCAGCACGGGCCTCCCCCCTAGTCCAGAAAGCGCCTGCGCGAGCCCGTCCGGGAGCGGTTCGAGCGGCGAATGTCAAACTTGGAGTCCCGGCACTTCTGGCAGATGTAGATCTCTGGGACGTTCGACTTGCGGATTTTGGCGCAGGAGAGGTGGATCCAAGTGTGGCACTCGTTGCACTCGATCATGGGCCGCCCAGCGAAAGGCTTCATGCAGAAGCAAGTGACCAGGTCCCACGAGTCGTCATCTGCAAAGACAAATGGCAAATATAGGTTTTTAGAGGCTAATGCTTCTCGCACCAGGAATTTTCTCTCCTTTCATGCTAAATTAACTACCTGGGTTTCAAAGACAGGCACTTTGCTGCTTTTTCCAGGTCTCTCTTGCACGGGAAGAGACTCTCAGCAGTACACAGGAGGCCGTAATCGAGGAGATGCTGCTTCTATAAAGTTGCAGCTTTTCACTCAGTTTATTGCACAAAAGAGCCAACCCACCTCCCTCCCCCCCAAAAACCCAACTTCTGCTGAATTCCACCCAGGCAGTGCTCCTCAAAATTATCCTCAGGCTACAAGTAAAGCACCACTACTTCCACCTGGCTAATCCTCCAGGACAGCCAGGCCACCTACCTGAATCCACCATGATGTCCTCGTCGTCACCAGTGCCATCCTCATCCCGAAAGACCACCTGCTTGCCCTGCCGAATGACCGTTCGCTTGCCCACGCTCTGGATCTCCACCGTCTGCTCGGCCGTCACAGCGGGGTAGGAGACGCTGGACGGGGTGTCAGAGTCCCACACCGAGCAGTGCTCAGTCACAGACTGAGGGTCCCCCTCTGACGAGGGGCTCATTGGTGTCTCTGCGTAAGAGTCCTCTGCCTCCAGGTCCAGCAGCTTCTCCTCATAGTCCTCCTCTGCAGACACCTCTGTTTCCCTCCTTTTCAGCTTTTTCTTCTTCCTGATCTTATCGATTTGCTTTCTCTCTGGCAGGAAGTTGTTGGCCTTTGCCCGCTGGAACAGGGAACCATACGGTTTTGCCCGCTTAAGCTGACTAAAGTTCTTTCTGTTCTTGGTGGGCAGGGAGACAGAGGAGGGGGTGTCATTGAAGCGGGGATCCCAGCTATCGCTGTCAATCGTGCCTCCAGTACTGTTGGGAGGGCTGGGGCTGTTCCTCAGCGGCGTTTCCTGGAACACGTTCAGGTACCAGTTTGACTCAGAGCAAACTCGCATGCAGTACAAGGTGCTGTCCCTTGTCCCCCAGGGCACTCTGACCCATTTCTGAGATGCTGTGCCTGTCTCCTAGAGTGGTGTCACCTGTCCCCAGAGGTGCTGTCCCCTGTCCCCCAGGGCACTCTGACCCATCCCTGAGATGCTGTGCCCTGTGCCGTAGAGTGGTGTCACCTGTCCCCATGGTTGCTGTTCCCTCTCCCCGAGGGCTGAGCCTTTTCCCCTAGGTATTGTCCCCTGTCCCCGAGGGCTGAGCCCTTTCCCCCGGGTACTGTCCCCTGTCCCACAGCATGCTGAGCCTTGTCCCCTCAACCACTGTGCCCTATCCCCCGGGGAGCTAAACCTTGTCCCAGAAGCACTGTGCCTTGTCCCCCAGAGTGCTGTACCCTAAACCGCTGTGCCCTGTCCCCTGGGGAGCTGAG